TTCAAAACAAATACTAATTATATTCGTGGACAAATCTTTATTTTATTTTATTAAAAATACTTCACTAAGAAATATGAGTTTTTGTATTAACTGAAAGACTGCCAAATTTTGTAAAGATATATACACTATATTGAAAATTAGAAGTATTAAATCTGTAAAGACTAAACGAGTAAAAAGAGGTCACGTGGTTGGTCAAATTGACCGAGCCCATGTTGAGAGAGTTAAAGAATTTCTTAATGTTTTATGTAGTTTCATATATTTCGTTGTTATATATATTCATAACTTGTGTTCATCAAATGATTCTTTTATCCAAAATTCAATCACTCATTTCCTACCAAGAACTTTTCATACAAATCGACTCTAACTAAACAAGTTTTTCTTATTAATGAGATTAGCAATAAACAAAAATTTTATTAATGATTTCAGAAAGATGTTTTTATTGGGTTGCAAAGTGAGGTAATTCTGGCTCATCTAAATCTTGAATTTGTCCAGAGTTAACAGCAATTAATTTTGGTAACTTGGTTATAAATAAATCTTAAAGCTGATGTAATCAAAAACTTAAATGACTTGATGAGAAGTTTTTTGTTTTGTTTTTTTATTCTGAGACATTACCTCCATACACAAAAAAGCTATCTTCCTCTTGCATGCCACTAGCCTTGAAACAATTCCAATGTAATTTCACATTTTAACATGAACTATGCTGTTGCATAATGACATTATCATGCAACAAAAAGCCTCCACCAATTGGATGGTGACAAAACCTCTATGCTCAGTAACTCCCCTATGCACTTGTACTTGTGATAATTTCATTCTGCTCCTCAGCATTGTATTGAACAGATGTGTTTAAAATTTCTCATCTGACTTCAGTTTGTTTCGATTCTCTTTTCTTGGTATCTATTTGGCCAGCTTAGGGATGGGTCCCCCTTATCTTCTCTTTCTCCCTCTAATACATCATTTTTATGTTTTTGTCTTTTTTCGCACTACCCTCCTGTATTCCCTCTTCTACCTCCACCTTTAGGCACCTCATTATGCTTGTGTCACATCTTCTGCTCTATGCCTCCATACTTTATTCCCTTGATATTGGGACTCATTGGATTAGGTCACATTCCCTATTATTGTACTTTTTCCTCTTGCATGGTCTTTGTTGGTCTCCCTTTCTTTACTCAGTTGTCTTTATTGGTGTTAATTTCTCTCTGGAGACCTGGACTGATATTGTACATCATTAGTACTCATTATTTACCTCAACCTATATGTTTACTCCTGTTCCTTATCTGGATCAGTCCACCCCTACCCTTCCCTCCTTTTTTTTGTTCTTCCTCTACCAAACATTTAGCTCATCTCCATTCTTGTCAGTGATTATCGTATCATGTCTGACCCTGTGGGTACCCATCTCTTCTCCTGCTGTTGGTCTCATATTTTGCCAACAATTGCTTTTCATTTCTCTACCTTGGTCACTCTCCTGGCTTCTCTTGTCAATTCCCTTTCTCCACCCTGTAGCCTCAACTATAACCTTTTTTTTCTTTTTTTTCATCTGGTCTCTGGTTAGCTAGATATGATGGATACCTTCCTACAAATCACTCTTGACCCCATCCTCCATATGTTTTCTATGTTCCATCCATCAATCTTGCATCTTTTTCATTCTTTAACCTTCCCTTTGACATAACGTTGACCTCTTTTGTATTCTTTGATATCATGTGGGCTTTCACTCTCTATATTCCTTGCCATGGATTATTGACTTTTGTTGGCCCATTCTCAAATGATTTCCTCTTCT